GGAAGAGGAGGAGGAGGAGGAGGAGGAGGAGGAGGAGGAGGAGGAGGAGGAGGAGGAAGAAGATCTCGTGTAGGGGAGGATGCGGAGAGGGATGCAGCTGTGGAGGAGGAAGTCAGGAAGCCCATCCCCCCTGTGAGTTTCTATGCCATGGACAGTGAGAGCCTTGTTCTTGAGGCGGTGCGTCCGAATGTGGTCATCATTTATGACCCGGACATAACCCTCGTGAGGGAGTTGGAGGTGTTCAAGGCAGAGAATCCGTCCCATGCACTGAAGGTCTACTTTTTGTTCTACGATGCCTCCACGGAAGCAAAGAAGTTTGAGAGCTCTATCCAGAAGGAGAACGGTGCGTTTGAGAGTTTGATCAGGCAGAAGGCTTCAATGATGGTCTCTGTGGATCAAGATGGGAGGATGCTGGGCCTTGAACCACGGACCCCGATGTTGCCGTTGTTGACGCAAACGACGGTGTCGACGAGGAGAGCCGGGGGGCGTTTGGGAGCCCCGGAGAAGCAGATGCAGGTGATTGTTGACATGCGAGAGTTCGTCAGCAGCCTGCCTTGCATGCTTTATCAACAAGGAATGAAGGTCTTGCCAGTCACCCTGGAGGTCGGCGACTACATCCTGTCCCCGCAGATGTGCGTTGAGAGGAAGAGCATCAGCGACCTGTTTGCGTCTTTTGCATCTGGCAGGCTGTACCACCAGGCTGAGTCAATGTTGCGATACTATAAAATACCCATCCTGTTGATCGAGTTCAACCAGGACAGGAGTTTCTCGTTGTCGTCAGCAAACGATCTTACGGATGATATCAGCTCATCAAGCATCATCTCGAAGATGTCCCTTCTGGCGCTTCACTTTCCTCGACTGCGGATCGTGTGGTCCCGGAGCCTCTATGCAACGGCGGAGATCTTCGCATCTCTCAAGACACATCAAGACGAACCCGATCTGAAAAAGGCGATGACTGTTGGCGTTCCGACCGAAGACGGGATCATTGAAGGAGACGCAAGGGCAGAACTGTTCAACACCACTGCGCAGGAGATTCTCCGGCGCCTCCCGGGCGTCACCGATGCAAACTACCGCACGCTAATGGACGGTTGCAACAGTCTCGCAGAACTCGCGGAACTGCCGATCGAACGGCTCCAAGTGCTCATGGGGGGGCAGAAGTCTGCGAAGATCCTCCGCGATTTCCTTGACGCCAAGTTTCCCATCCTCTCATGACCTTTCTTCTTATATCCTTCATTTCCCGTTCTCTCGTGATTCTCTCCCTTCCAAAATACTTCTTTGTCCTCTAAGATGCCTCTAATTTTGCCTTGATCGAATGGCTCCTGTGTCCTTTATCTGTTGAGGGTTGTTAGGAAAGCGTAGCAGAGGGGTACGAGGAGGCAAAGGAGGAGGTGCAGGAGGAGGAGGAAGAGGGGGTAAAGGAGGAGGAGGAAGTGGAGGAGGGGTTAGAGGAGGAGGACGATGAGGAGGAGGGGGTAAAGGAGGAGGAGGAGGAGGAAGGGGTAAAGGAGGAGGAGGAGGGGGTAAAGGAGGAGGAGGAGGAGGAGGAGGAGGAGGAGGAGGAGGAGGGCAACGACTACCAAGTTACAGCAAGCAGGTTATGGAGCAATGGTCAAGGTAAACAGTGCATGCCTACTGATGGCAGCTGTTACAGGTGTGCTGGATTGCTTTTTTATTATAATATTTTATGCCACACAAGGAGTTGGGGGGAAGGAGGGGATAGGTCACAGAAGGTGGTACTTCTCAGTTTGGAGTAAGGCGAGGAAGGGGAATGGGGAGGAAGGGGGGGTCCAAGGCTAGAACTGCTGCTGGATAATTGTCATGGTTATCAGTTCTGGGGCTGATGCTTAGCTGTGGCTTCTTGCATGTCTGACATGTCAGCGAGAGGATCTATTGAAGTCCTGAGCGTGTTAGTTTTTTTTAATCAAAGCTCTCGAGTCTTACGATATTTTTTTGTCTGAATCTGGCCATAATCACAATCAGATACGTCACCAAGTTCCATCCGTGAGTATGCCCTTACGTCCTCATCCAAAGGAAATGGGTATTTCCATCAGCTTATCGTCCATGCACAGCGATCCATTCGTAGGGAGTATATATAGACTGCGATCAGTCGCCCCCTAGCAGTCGGTTGGGGAAGAGGGCATGCACTTTTATTCATTTTCAGACACTGTGAAGTGATTGACCTGTCAGATTTTGTCTCTCTTTGTATGACTACAGTAATAACCTATTCATTCATTTTCAAAATTCAGAGGAGGTCTTTGAGGATCTCTGCCGGGGTGCTGAGCCCAGCAGGCTGCTGAGGTCTCTTCTCAAAATCGTCGCACTGTCTTAACAAATGACGATTCCATGGGGTTCGAGCCGATACGGTCCTGCATGCATCTGGTTCCCCATCTGGTTCCCCATCTGGTTCGGCATTTGGTCCGGCATTTGGTTTCTGGTTCTGCTAAGGTGCCGAGCCCAGCAGGTTGCTGAGGTCTATTCTCAAAACCGTCGCAGTGTCTTAACAAATGACGATTCCGTGGAGTTTGAGCCGATACGGTCCTGTATGGTTCTGTATCTGGTTCCGCATCTGGTTCCGCATCTGGTTCCGCATCTGGTTCCGCATCTGGTTCCACATCTGGTTCCACATCTGGTTCGGCATTGGTTTCTGGGTCAGCATCTGGGTCAGCATCTGGGTCAGCATCTGGGTCTGCATCTGGGTCCACATCTGGTTCCGCATCTGGTTCCACATCTGGTTCCGCATCTGGTCCCACATCTGGTTCAGCATTTGCTTTGGCATTTGGTTCGGTGTCAGATGGGATGTGTTCCTTTGGCAAAACATGGAACATGGGACATCAGGGTTGCCATCATAGCCCATGGAAGGAAGGCAGTCGGTTGTTGACTGACTATTTGGATGGGCGGAGAGATGCGCTTGGCCAGAGCAGCAGGAGCAGGGTTTATAAACTTTAACGGTTCGGATGTGTGAGGCAGAGTGGAATTAACCGAGTACGGTTACTGTGTTGGGAGACTCGGGTTTATTAGCGATCTCCACAAAAATATGTTCACACGCGGAGAATACTGTGTTTAATGAGCGCAGTCATTTTTTATTTGTAAAATTTATGTTCTGATGAGAATTGGATCATTGTAGGTGTTGGTATTCGTACTATACGCTTTAGTTGAACCGGGCTTTTTTTTGGGTCTTTTTTTATCTTTTTTTTAGTGGAGTTAGGGACGATGGAGGTGCTTTTTTGAAGATGTCGGATTTCAGAATCGCATCCATTCTAGCGGCCTTTCCCCCTTCTAGTGGCGGTCTCTTGGTTGGTCTGTTGGTAGTTTCAATTCTCATTTGGCTATCCAAAGATTGACTATCCCATAGTCTTTACTCGTAAGAAGAAGACCTCTATAATCACTAGTTAGGAACGATGACCGTTAGGAATGATGACCTTTGATGACTAATTAGGAAATCAATCAGGACTGTTGATGACAAGATTGGCTAGGAACGGCGAACCTTTCGCTCATATACATCGAATCAGGACCGTGTATGCGTTTACCAGTTCTCATTCCGTCTTTGGTGATGATGATTCTCTCTCGTTTCTTCTTTTGGAGGAAGAATGGGTTCGCCGAGGACCTTTTTTTTTTTTTTTTTTTTTTCTTTTCCTGGGATTACTCACTCTTTAAGGAGTGAAGATTGCATTTGTGTGTGTGTGTGTCTGGAGTTTTTTTTTTTTTTTTGGCTTCTGGGGGTTTTCGTGTGTGGATATATGCGGTGTTTGTGTGTGATCGATGCAGTTCTTTTTAGGGATCAATATAGTTTTTTTGGGGGGATTGGTGCGTTTTTTTTTTTTTTTTTTTTTCCCCCCCCCCCCCCTTTCTCTTAACTGGTGCCAGGTAATTCAGAGTCATTTTTTTTAACTCATCTGAGTTCACCAGGATTCGAACTTGGGTGTGCTTATCAGCAGTTCATGGGCGTATCATTCTTTCAGCCGCATGGACCGGGTGGTATGATTGATGTAGGCTTTTGTTTGGGATCGAAGCTGTTTTTCATTCGGGATTGATTCGTTTAAACTTATAAAAAAAAATTTAAAAAAATTGGGGATCTATTCACTTTTCTGTTCGGGGTCAATGAGTTTTTTTGTTTGGTTACATACAAGCTGCGGGTTTCCAAGGACTTGAATATCTCCATTTTGTGTTCCCCCTTACGGAAATCTTCCCTCTGTTATGTGTCATGGTCCCTTGTCCTCCCTCTACTGAGGCAATTACCTGTGCTTGCAATGAAAAATGATCAGATAAAATTATAAAATGATCATTAAAAAAAAAAAAAAAAAAAGTGTGTAAAATTTTATTTCCTGAAATGTGTGTGAAAATAGGAAAATCGCATTCGGAAATGAGTGCAAAATTTGAAAAGCACTTCTTCTGAAAATCGAGTAAAAAAGGTTTGAGCGAAAAGAAAAAAAAAAAAGGGGAAGGGTTTGGGTAAGAAGATCTGTGTCGTATTCCATAAGCTTTTCCAACCATTACGTTGCTTTCCTTTGCTCCCTCTACTCTCCCATTGCCCTCCTCCTCTGTCTGCAGGGGGAAGTACTTGCAGTAGAAACCGACTGAAAGGAAGAGGGAGAAAAAAAATGAATGACAGGCGACGGAAACTTTGGAAAGTAGTACTCCTGACTATCAATTAACGAACTTTTTCTTTAACAATGAAAACCCAAGAATTCTTAGAATTGTGAAGAAAAAAAAATCGCCTTACGATTGTGACGAAGTGTTTATCTAACGGTTGCGACAGACAGGGACAGACTTGGCTATACATTGTCAAACTGTGGCAGTTTATAGCAATATGAGGGGAGAGGGGATGGTCTATGAGAAGAGAGAGAGAGATGTGACAAAATCTTGGACTGCACTTCGAATAGTTGTGCCCAACAGGATTCCAACTCTTGATCTGTTGCTTGGCAGTCTCATATGTGCGGGTACCAGTTGCGGAGGAGCGTCAGGTCACCGTGCAATCCTCCTTTCTCCTTTGCGTTGAAAGGCATACAGTCAATGTTGTTCGGTTGTTCAATGTCTTCTCCACTGTCGTGTGTGTTTGTGGCTTCCGGTCTCGTCAGAAAACAAACTCTTTTACAAATACTTTTTATATTAAAAACCGACTTTGCTCATTGCTCGGGATTCTCCCGCAGCAATGTTGTTGGGTTCTTCAACCCAATTCACGCCTGCGTAATGAGTGCAGTCGTGCTTTTAACTTTTTATTTGTAAAATTTATGTTCCGATGAATCTGATCTCAGCTACCAGCCTGACCGCCCGGGTGACCTTGTTTGCCCGGGGCGGCCCAGCCACCAGGGAAGGTCCCAGCAAAAAGAAAAGAAGGAAAAAAAAAACAAAAGCATCCGGGGGAAAAAAAACTTATGTCATGCAGGAAAAAAAATGAAAAATAAAGTACACAACTTTTTTTTTTTTTAACCTTTTTTTTTTTTTTTTTAATGTGGTCCATTGGACCCCGGATCAGATATGAAACTGATCAGAACAGAATCAACAGATACTACACTTTGATCTATTTTTAGCCCACAGGCCGAGAAAAGGTACGACTACACAACTTTTCCACCAAGGTAACATCGAAATTCCTTACCAAATTCTAAACAAAAACAATAAAATTATAAAACTTAATTAATGTGACATATATGTAATATTAATAATATTATAGTAATTAATACTAATATGTATTTTCTATTTAAAAGGGCCTTTACCCGATATAGGCCTCAGGCCTTGTAAAAATAAAGCATCACGGGCCTTGAAAAAGTAAAGCATTGTGAAAAGGTATCTCGCCAGAGCTCAGAAACGTGAAAGCAGGTCAAAGGTGAAGTTCTCTGTCAACAGGCATATCTAAAGCTAAGGCAAAGGGCATTGTCAAAAGACTTACCTGTTCACCAGGAGATGTGTATGTCATGTCTGTTTGGGTAAGAGTGTGTCTGTACGTGCAGGCAGTGTACCTGTTCGTGCAAAGTAAAGTGTCTGTTCAAGCAGTAAATGTGTCTGTTCGTTGAGAGTTGTGCCTGTCTGAAAATAAAGTCAATAGGCACAGTCCCAGTTCTGGTCTAAGTCTAGGGGTC